GCAGGTCTTGCAACTGTTCTTTCAATTCTTTCATGTCGGCGGTAGCCATCCTGTAGGGAGTTTTAGAAATGGGCGGGGTGCCTGGCACAGTTTCAATAGTAAACTCTATCTCCCTATCTACCAATTCCCCTATAATTCATTTGGAAACACATCTGGAAATTCTCTAACAATAGGGATATCATTCAATTCAGCATTCACAGATTGTTTAGACAGCACATAGCACAAATAACCCTGGCACCCTTTCCTGATCAGTTTACATGCTTTCATTGCAGATATCAAATAAGGTGGAGGCACTACCCCATTACCCACAAACACAATCTCTTTCTGTTCTGGTGGTTTAAACACAACCCGTTTTGTCACACAGTCAATTCTGGCACAATACTTGGTCAACCAATCCATGGCCAAAATTACATCAAAATGCCTAAAGTTCAAGGGCAACAAATCTACATATAGGATAGCATCCTCAACACGTATTTCACAAAACCGGTATATAGATTCACACAATACAGATTCCCCAGATAGAGCAGACACACATAGCAGATATGACAATAATTCTAAGGGTCTATTCAGTCTAGATGCAAATGCACATGTCACAAAAGAGTGTGTGGATCCGGAGTCAATTAACACAAAAGCATCCTGATTACATATAGAAATAGTACCTGAGACAACTGCATTGGCATTCTGTGTATCGCCCGGAACAAGCGCAAAAACTCTCCCCTATCTCACAGTATCCCCGGTGGTAGCGGATCTCAAAGTGTTTCCTGGCTTTGGGATCGATGCAGTGGAATTAGCAACCTTCTTTTCTCCATTTTGATTACAATTTCGGGCCATGTGCCCTTGTTTACCACACTTGAAACAGGCCCCCGACACACGGTAACAAACTCCACGGTGCCTTTTGCTGCAAATGTTGCACATAGGAGATGTGTCTTGGGAAGAATTCAAGGTATTTGAGGAGCCCGTGTTTTGCTTTTTCAGAAACTTCTTCTTTGAAAAGAAGCCTTGTCTTTTGTTACCTTTCCATTCTGTTGTTGGCTTGGCTTGTTTAGCTATGTTGGCCTCTGATATGATGGCCCTGTCTAGCACTCCAATGTAGGTTTCTAGCTTTAAGACACTCACTCTTTCAAGGATGTCACTTCGAAGCCCACCTTCAAAATGCCTTGCCTTTTTATAGTCTGTATCAATCACGTGCGGTGCAAACCTGGCCATGTCAATGAATTTGGCCTCATACTCGGCTACAGTCATACTGTCTTGCTTAAGTTCCATGAACTCTGCTATTTTCCTATCCCGAACACATTGCGAAAAGTATTTATCGTAGAAGATTTCCAAAAATTTTGCCTAATCAGCATCTTTGTAATTCTCACACATTAACATCCACCATCTTCTTGCTTCATCTTCTAGCATAAAGGTGGCTAGAAGCACTTTATGTGTCTCCAAACACGGGAACACTTCAAACAGTTTTTCGATGCCGAGGACCCAAGCTTCAGCTTTCAAAGGATCTAATCCACCATGGAACTGTGGTGGTTTCATTTTCTTGAACTCTTTGGTGAGAGCTATGATTCGGTCATCATTCTGATTATCTGGCATGGGTGGTGCCGGAGGTGAAGGTGGCGGATGTGGTTGCTGCCACTGTTGTTGCCACTCCTGTTGCTGTCTCAAAGTTTCTACCATTTCCTGTATCAGTCTTTCCATTCTGTCCAGTCTGGCAGTAAAAGATTCCTCTATCTCATCACCTCTTGTTCTCACCATTTGATTGAACTTGCATTATATTTTACACAGAAGATTTGCAAGTACGCATATATTAAAGGGCACGCATATTCAAATAAATTGCAATGCAAGCAAATCATAACTTATAACACATAGTTGTTCATATTAAAACATTTAAGCATATACTTGATGCTTTCAGATTCAAACTCATCACATGCATGCATCCTAGATCTTTTCTAGACGCTTATTGCTCACTTGGACAAGTGTGTGAGTTATTAACTCATGCTCTGATACCACTCTGTCATGACCCGAACCCGCCCACGTGCATTAAGGACATAACCGGCCAGTAATCATAAGATTACCTACGGCCTCAAACCAAAATAACGTATTAACAGAGTTAATGGGGGCCAAACGGAAGTAATTTAAAACTTTGTCCTTAGAGCTGTGCTTACATGGCACATTAAAACAAACCATACACGTATACATTAATAACTCACAATAGATACACAGTACCATAAAGTTTTGTACAGACGGGATCATCCAAAGCTAAGTCATCCCATGAAAACTATATACAGACATATTCAAATAAATTGCCAACATAACAACTTAGAACAAAATGGCAAAAGACGAAGGTGAGTCTCATGCGTGAGACACATAGGCTGACTTTCCAAAACTCGGTTGTTCCCTACAAACTTCACTGGGGCTGAGTCTGGACCTCTCTTGGCTCACCTACAAACACATGAATGAGCGTGAACGAAAGCCCAGTGAATGATATCAAATAAAGAAACTACATTGGAACATTATACATCAGACGGCCTTGGGCCCAATTCATTCATGTCAAACTGGCCTTTGGCCTTTTCGAACGTTCATATCAGACTGGCCTTTTGGCCTTATCAAACTTTCGTATCAGACTGGCCTTTCGGCCCTTCCAAACTTGTCATATCAAACTGGCATTTAAGCCTTTTAAACTTGTCATATCAAACTGGCATTTAAGCCTTTCAAACTTGTCATATCAAACTGGCATTCAAGCCTTTCAGACTTGTCATTTCAAACTGGTATTTAAGCCTTTCAAACTTTCATTTCAAACTAGCATTTAAGCCTTTCAGACTTTCATTCCAAACTGGCATTTAAGCCTTTCAGACTTGTCATATCAAACTTTGTCCACCATTCAACATTAATGAACTTTACAAAACTTACGTAGAAGTAAGCAATTGGACAATAACATATTTACTTACAAAACTTACATATAAGTAAACAATTGGACAACAGTATATTTCAAATATCTTAATAAGATATTACTCACAGTGATCGGTTTGTGGATTTGCCCTGGAGCTTGACCCTACACATTCCATGAACACAAAAGGGTCACTAACAATTCAATCCGTTCTTAAATTCACATTTTCCTCTTTAGGCTTTATTCTTATCTCTTTAACTCATTTACAATGTTTAACACATGCCTAAGAGTGCTTGCAAGTGAAAGAGAACGAAAAACGAAACACAGAATGCGAAAATAAAATTTTAGAAAACAGGGTCCTCGCTCGAGCGTGGAATACCCCGCTCGAGCGGATCCTTAAGGCCTACAAAAGTACTGGTTGCATGAAAAATAAGCTCGAGCGTGAAATAGGGCGCTCGAGCGAAAGACCTATCTACAAAGCTCCACGCTCGAGCGTGAAATATCCTGCTCGAGCGAACACCAAGTCTGCAAAAAATACTGGGAGCACGTAATTTACGCTCGAGCGTAGGTTCTTCCGCTCGAGCGGACCTCAAAATTCTGGAAAACCCAAAATGTGTTCTTGAGCTCCCTCTCAACATTCAAACTAACATTTCTCGCATTTTATGGCTCCAACCTCATATATTCTTGTACTAACATGGTATAAACACTAAAACACATCATCATGGAGCTCAATTTCATGAATCAAACACATGCATGGCTCATTTTCCACCAAACTCACTACCAATATAACAATTTCATGCATTCAGCACTTACACCCTTATAATTTGCACATGCATGTGGTATATTTTTCTCATTCTCAACTTATATGATGAAGAGGTGGTCAAGAACATGATCTTCAACTAAAAACTCACATAGATCATGCATTTGGTGTTCAAATATGCAAATTCAAAGTAACTACATACATGCATGCTAATATGGACCCTCAATTCAACATGGTCAACTCAATTTCATTTCAATTCTTGTTCTTGACCATTAATCAACTTTAAACACACAAGATTACACATTACACTTATGAATTCAAGAGTCAATTGCTTACCTAGAGGCTCAATTTATTCCAATCACTAGCAAATTCTTGAATAATCTTTGAGATCACCAAGCTTTGAGACCAAAACCTCAATTTTCTTCTCCCTCTCTCTCTCTCTAGCCGACCCTCTCCTTCTCCTTAGAGCAATTCGGCTCAAATGAGCAAGAAAAGGAATTGAGTGTGTGTGTAGTGCTCATATAAAAGCCCCTCTTGTGATATTATTATAATATCAAATAATAAAGCACTAATTCACTAATTAAATCAATTTAATTTGATCTGAATCAATTTTCAATTAAACTTCACCGTAGGCTCTAAAAATTATGCCATTCACAATGGCGCAATCAATTTTGGTTTGGATGGCCGTTAAGGCCTTCAATTTAATTTCCAAAGCAGATAATCAAACAGATATTCCTACGGTGAACAGATAGAAATTCAAAACCATATATTTTCACATAATGGCACACAAAATTATGTTAAACACATAATCACATTCATGTTAAGGACCAATTAACATATTACGGGACAGGGATATCACAGTATGAGAACATTGTTGTATTTCTTAAAGTGTAGAAATCTCCGACTACACAGAATCCTATTTCTTTAGCAACAAATTCTCCTCAAAAGAAGTCAAGGCAAGTCAAGATCATATTGGGTTCTAGTCTCGGAGCTTTTTTTATTGTATTTTTTGTTGTTGGCTCTTGCATTTTCTTTTTCAAAAAGAAACAAGATTCCCAGGATTTTGATGAGTTCTTTGTCAATCAAGTACCAGGGATGCCTACCAGATTTTCTTACACAGAATTGAGAGCCATGACAAGTAATTTCAACGATAAGCTTGGGAAATGAGGATTTGGGTCAGTGTTTCAAGGGATGTTAAGCCATGGCACCAAAGTAGCAGTGAAGTGTCTCAATGGTTTTGGTCAGGTTAACAAGTCATTTTTAGCTGAAATTGAAACAATAGGCAGCATTCACCACGTCAATTTGGTGAGATTAATTGGATTTTGTGCTGAAAAATCATATAGGCTTTAAGTTTACGAATACATGTCCAATGAATCCTTGGATATATGGATCTTTCAAAGGCAACAAGAGCTCACTCTTGGATGGCAATCCAGAAGGAACATTATTCTGGATATAGCCAAGGGACTAACCTATCTTCATGAGGAATGTAGGCAAAAGATATTTCACTTGGATATCAAATCCCAAAACATCCTCTTAGATGAAGACTTCAATGAGAAAATGTCTGATTTTGGATTGTCAAAACTAATTGATAAGGACCAAAGCTAAGTTATAACAATGATGAGGGGAACATCAGGCTTTTTGGCTCCTGAATGATTGAGCTCAATTATCACCGAGAAAGTATGTTTATAGCTTTGGTGTCGTTGTCTTGGAAATATTGTGTGAGCGCAAAAATCTGGATAGATCTCAGCTTAAGGAAGATATGCATCTGCTAGATTTGTTTAAGAGGAAAGCAGAAGAGGAACAACTTCTGGATATCATTGATAAATATAATGATGTCATGCAAACACATAGAGCAGAAGTTGTGGAGATGATGATGGTTGCTGTGTGGTGTCTACAAAGTGATTTTTCCAGGAAGCCTTCTGTGTCGGTGGTGATTAAGGTCTTGAAGGGTTCTGTAGATATTCAAATCAATTTGGATTATAACTTCACAACTCCTGTGGCACCAAGACCAATTACAGTTGCTGGTCACCAAGGGGATGCCATTGGTGCTGTTGCTTCTTTATTTGCATCAGCTTTATCAAGACCAAGGCAGATAAAGCAAACTCCAACGAGCAAATTAAAACTGATCATTTAAAGTTTTTGTATTCCATTTCTTATGTAGTGAACTATAATCAAAGATTTTTATTTGTGCAAATCCAAATCCATGATACCAGGATTAATGGTGTTTTAGGTAGAGTTGATAAAATTTCAACTCTCTCAATAATATTTGCCCTTTTTATTTCTGCAAGTTCTTCCATCATCATTTCCATAGTACATACAAAACCACATGAATATAGTGAGCAAGATTAGATTTCCCATAGTTTTAATTCAAACATTTTCAAGTTCTGTGGTGAAGGTGAAGAAGATAGATATTTTGTGAGAGTATGAGAGTTTCTCATGATTCAAGTAAAACAAGAGAACATCAAATTAGTGGGTTACGGTTCAAACTTTATTCTCCAAAAGATGTGTCGATGAATAGTAAATTAAGTTTGAAGAAGGAACAAAGCCAGCTTATATTTTGGACAAATTTAGAGCCATTTTATGACTAATTAATTTGGTTGAAGGGTAATGCTCTTGAATTGCTAGGAAAGAAAACATTTTGTACATCAGTTAGTCTGCAGAATGTGCAATTTTTTTTTTCTCACTTTAAGCTTGACCGGGAAAACAAAAAGAGTGTGACTCGATGAACAAAAAATTCTACTGCCATGTTTTTCCCCCTCTGCTTTCCCAAAACCTACTGATCTGTAATAGGAAATGGATAAACTGAAATTTGATTTGCAATACTTTTCTTGTATCATTTTTTTACATCGATTCTACGCATTAGATCAATGCCCAACCTGTTGTGCCTTCAATGGCTAACCTGTGCACTACATGGATCAAGCCTATTTGAATGAAGGCGAAAAATATAATTGGGGCCCTTTGTAATATTTGTTTTATAATTTTTATTTAAAATTCTTAACAATTTCCCAAACCTTTACAATCAAAATAATTTTGATAAAAAGGCCTTTTATTTATTTATTTATTTATTGACTTGACCAAAGAATGGAAGAGGTGTAATGTAAATGTCCTCCAGCAAGAGAGGTTGTTTTCTCTCTTTGTGATTTGACTGATAGTCTAAGATAACTCATGAAGTGTTATTCTTGTTATATAATTTAAGATTTAATTATTTTTATTTATTACTGAGAGATTTTTCGCTACTTTTTTTTTTTAGAATTATTTGAAGTATAAGTTCTTTTATGTATATATATATATATGTATTGTGTAGTGAATATATAGTAAGTAGGGCCCTCCTAAATAGAGCGCCTATCCTTTTAAGCCACCACTAGTTTGCAGTAGATGTGGTACAATAACATGGCAAGTTTGGACCGCAGTTACTCAAAAGTGGCTAATAGCAATACAAGTAAGCTATTTTAAACAGATAAATAAATGGCAAGCATCATAATCTTGAATGTTCTGAAATTATTCCTTTGTTCTGCAAAACTTCACAACATCACATGCTCATAGAGCTAAAGAATGTTACCTACCTCATTATTGAGGCTGACATGTCAAATGCTATTAATACATAGACATGAAGTAGTTGCAAGCAAGCCTGTTTATGTAGTTGATACTACAGAGCTGCTCTGTTTTGTTCAAGTGACGTTTTTGATAAAAATTCAAGTGGAAAATCCTCTATATAGACTAACAGAGATCATCTAAATGAAGGTCAACATAAAGTGCACATTAAGTCAATAATCAATTTGTAATCAAACTGGTATCCAGACTTGGAGAGTTTTTCTGGTTTCTTTATTATAATTTCCATGTGCTTTCATTTTCAAGGTAGAAAAGAGGAACTGATGAAACCGAGGAGGATTATTTAGATCAAGAAGTGCTGGGAATGCCCATGAAATTCTCTTATAGAATTGAGCTCAAAGTCACTGACTGATATAATTTCAAAAGGAAACTTTGTCAAGGATAATGTGGATATTGGTCTTTGAAGGAACTCTCTTCTAAGCAACGGCAAAATCAAAGTTGCAGTGAAGCATCTTGATATCTTACATGTCAAGAAGTCTTTTTCTTGGCTGAACAAGTCAAGATAATAGGCAGCACTGACCATCTAAACTTGGCGAGATTGGTGGAACATTGTGTTGAGAAATCAGAGACCTTTACATTGTATTTGGTTGGGAGATTTGGAAAGGAAAAGGAAAAAAGTAGGTGAAATATAAATAGAATATACCTATATTTCACATAGTTTCACGCACTTTTTCCCTTTTCTTTTCCAAATCTCTTCTCAAATCCCCAACCAAACGCACGTTAGTTTATGAATATGGGTCTGTTTAGTGCAATTTATGGAGCTGTTTATAGCTCTCTCTTTTTTATATTGAAAGTACATGTAAAATTATTTGGTGCAGCTTCTACTTACTGCCTTAAGACAAAAATAATTTTTCAAGAAAAAAAAAACCTCTTATTAATGAAAAGCAAGGGAAAGGTGTCATGGTATTGGAAGTCCTTTGTGGATGAAAAAATTTAGATGGTGTACTAGTTGTCAATTCCACCAGTACCAAGCTGTTGGCCAGTGCTCTCTCTGCTACTCATTCTATTGCTGTCATCTGCTTTGTTACAAGATGTTGGGGGAAATTTTATACAATAAACCATCAATATTATTATAAAAAAAAAATCAATATATATACTGTAAATTTGTAAATCAAAAGTAAAGTAAATAATTCTTAGCTTCTAATTATGAGAGACATGTAGTAAAGTAATCACTTTTTCAAAAAAGTTAATACCTGCCCACGCGATCGTATTAACAAGAATAATGGATTACTCCAAAATGCAACCTATATTACTGTTAGGCTTTATGACATTTGTGCACATTGAAAAAGGTTCAATAAACCATTTATGATCAAAAAATATATATGAAAATAATAAATAAATAAACAAACCCAAATTAACATGTTGGAAATTAAAGAGCTTGTCTTATATAGACATTGTAGTGTGTTTTTATTAGTGACACATCCCTTAGTTTTAAAAGAACACAATTATTCGTTTAAATTTGAAACTCCTAAAATATTGTCTACAAAAGAAACTCAAAATTTTAGAAACAATTACTTGAACTTCACCATTTAAATAAATTGATGATGATTAATTTTGAATGACGTCTCCTTAATTAACCTTGAAAAAAAAAAGAGAGTTAATATTAGCACCTACCTTTTTATTTTCGCCCTCTAATTTTTTGAACTCTCACCCAACAAAATAAGTCCTCACCATTACTCTTCGAACCCCGACCTTAATACCAACTATACCCCAAACCCAAACCCAAACCTTAGTCCCTACTCCCAACCACCACCTCCGGCACCACTACTGTTGCCTCCGGCAACCAATCCGTAACCTACCTCTGACCCTTCTTCTTCTTCTTTTTCTTCTTCACCCCCTCTGTCTCAGCTTCGACAAACCACCATTTCACCACCAATCTCTGAATCCATACTATTGTTTCCATAACCACCCACCACTGTAGCGACCCTAATTTTCTTAAGTCATTTATTTATTATTATGATTATTATATCTTATTTTATTTTTGACTTTATTAATTGTGTAGGTTACATGAGAATTTAATATGATAATTAGTGAATTTAATGTGGTAATTATTAATTTAATGTGTTATTTAATTATATATAATTAATCTAAGCATTTATATTTGTTTTATATATAAAAAAAAAGGAAAGGTGTATTTATATTTGTTATTTACATACATATATATAATATCGTATATTTATATTTATATATATTATAAATTGTTGTATAATATTATATAATAGTTTATTAGGTTGTTATGGATGAGATTTAGGTTATATATATATATAATATGTAGTCAATTAGGTTAGAAGCAAAAAGAAAGAAAAAGAGAGTGCTGTGTGTGTGGCGTGAGAGAGAGAGAGAGAGAGAGAGAGAGAGAGATATCAAGAAAAGAAAACCAAGATCAAGAAAAGAAAAAAAAACAAGAAAGCCGAGATAAAGAGGAACACCGGGAAAAAGGAAGAGGGAAAAAATAGAAAGATTAGGGTTTTATTTTGGTGGCTCCTTTAGTTCTCCAAATATTTTATTGACCTTCAAAATAATATTGTGAGTACAAAACCCACTTTTCTTTATTTATGTTTAATTCGCAGTTTTATTTATTTTATTTATTTTTTATTTGTTTGATGTTAGTTTGATTTTGTTTTACATAAAGATGATAGATTAATTTTAATTATTTGATTAGTTGGATATAAGATTTAGGGTTTATAGATGATTAGATTGATTTTAAGTATTTTGACTAGTAGTTATATGTAAAGTTTAGGGTTCTTAGATAAGTGATTGATTTTAATTACTTTGATTAGTTGTGTAGGTAAATTTAAGATTTTTAGATGATTGATTAATTTTTAATTACTTGATTAGATGTATATGTAAAGTTTAGGATTTTTAGATGATTGATAATTTGAATTATGTTCATTAGACGTATATGTAAGATTTAAGATTTTTAGATGATTAATAGATTGTATAATAATTTTAATTAGTTGGGTATGAAAGGTTTGGATTGTTTTAGTCGATTGATTAATTTTAATTATGTTGATTAGACGTATATGTAAGGTTTAGGATTTTTAGATGATTAATAGATTGTAATAATTTTAATTAGTTGGGTATGAAAGGTTTGTGATTTTTTTTAGACGATTGATTATTTTAATTATGTTGATTAGACGTATATGAAGGTTTAGGATTTTTAGATGATTAATAGATTGTAATAATTTTAATTAGTTGGGTATGTAAGGTTTGGGATTTTTTAGACGATTGATTAATTTTATTATGTTGATTAGATGTATAGTAAGATTTAGGATTTTTAGATGATTAATAGATTGTAATAATTTTAATTAGTTGGGTATGAAAGGTTTGGGATTGTTTTAGTCGATTGATTAATTTTAATTATGTTGATTAGACGTATATGTAAGGTTTAAGATTTTTAGATGATTAATAGATTGTAATAATTTTAATTAGTTGGGTATGAAAGGTTTGGGATTGTTTAGTCGATTGATTAATTTTAATTATGTTGATTAGACGTATATGTAAGGTTTAGAATTTTTAGATGAA